GAGGTTCACGATGCGCACGCTGCCCGGTGTGAGTGTCTTGGCGGTCTGCAACATCAGGGGAAGCAGGTGCTTCGTAAACACCCAGTGCCCGAGGTAGTTGGTCTGCCACTGTGCCTCGTGACCGTCTTTGGTCATCTCGAAGGGCGTCGCCATGATGCCTGCGTTGTTGACCAGCCCGTGCAGCGCTGGTTCGAGAGCGAGGAAGCACTTGGCGGCTGCAACGACGCTAGCGAGGTCTGCGAGGTCCATTTGGAGAAGGTTGATGTTGGCGGCGGGGTGTATTTTCTTGATGCTGGCGATAGCTACTGTGCCCTTCTCTGGAGACCGCGCACACATGTAGACGTGGGCACCGTGTTCTGCTAGATGGGCTACGGTATGATAGCCTCTGTGGTTGGGCGAGATTAGCGATTTGGGCTTTTGGGTGAGAAGGAAACGGGAGACTCACATGCCGGAATTCCCACCAGTGACTATGAATACTTTCCCATTGAGATCGGGGAGAGTATCGGGATGGAAAGCCATGCTATGTACAATGAGCGCTTGTATTGAGGGGTGAAGGATATAACGCGACAGCGAGCAAATATTAAGCGTCTTGGGTGAGTCCTATGGTGTTTGTTGATGGAAAAGAGGCGTTGAAATGAACGGTTCGCTACGATCTTTATTTATATTGATCTAAATGAATAATATCTACGAATTCCAGATACTCCTTGTATATCATTCCGAGCTTCATCAGATATTGTGAGCAAGTCGCAGCATCCTTGGACCAATAGGAGAATTCTTTGGGGCCAGTGAGCCAGCTACATGGAACATGGGACTGCTTAAAATAACTACCACGAAATCCACATTGTGAGCAGGTTGCATGACGCTAGACCTGGTCAAGTTAGAGTTTTAATCAGTACTATATGTCAGTTCCCAAGTGTCAGACTCGTGATTGTGAGCAGAATGCATAAACCGCCTTGACCGGTCTGGAGAACTTCGCATCACTCATGACCGCCATTACAGCGTCCGCTAGCATCATGACTAGTATGGATCAACCCATAAATTCAACGCGACTATGCATCCAAGTCGCGCGGATGCCACAATTGGCCGAGGTACGTACCAGCCGCTCTCAATCGCGGAGACGGCATGACTTGCTCACCGCGTTCAGGCGATAACGAAGGAAGATGACTGGACTGGTACCACAGACGCTGCAGCACGAAGACGGGCTCAGACTAGACTCAACACAAGGGCATACCGTAAGTAAGACCTTAGCTTTTTCTTCAGTCTTAGGGGTTCCAACCATTCCGATCAAGGAGTAGATGAGCAATTACGAAAACTAATCACCGCCCAATAGGAAAACGGAAGGCCCTTGCGAAGAAAGCTGGAGCACCAAATGCTGCGACCGGGAAACTAATCAAATCAGAAACCCTGGTGAAATGCTGGAACATAAAGCAAGAATATCTCTCCGCAGTCCCAGCATCTCATGCCAAGCAGCTATATAATACGAAAAGTCCCCTGCTGCCACATAAACTTAGAAAAGAGGAGTGGAATATTATATTCCCACTTTGTCCAGACCACCTCATCACACTCCTCCAACTCAACGCTCTACGCGCCCTGGCCACCAACCGGACTCTAATATCAGGGATCCTCGTCACGCCTCTGGACTGCGGCGAGGAGATTATCCATGTCTTGCCATACCCTACAAAGCCTCAACTACTCCCTTCGGCACTCCTGCCCACGATCCTCCAGCAAACGGTCCCACACAGCGACTGGATCGACATGTGGCCGTGTCCCGAGGTACGAGACCGCCTGATCCAAGCCGCTGGCACCTTCGACGAGGACGACCTATGGGCCGACTGTATTGGTGGACTGTACGAGGGCTTCCCAGATGATGAAGTCGAGCGACGCGGGATGATTGCGTGGTCCCCGCCATGGGACATCACGGGGTGGGAGATGTCGGAGGGGTTTGTGAAGAAATGGGGATGGTTAGTTCAAGGGCTGCCGGGACCATTAGAGGCGACGAATCGGTGGCGGATGGAGAGAGGTGAGGATCCATTTGTCCAAGACGACTACCCATCACGTGCAGCTGTGTGAACATTGTGTTGTCCGGCTAACCCCTTCATCGGTCGAGCCGGGTTTTATAAATATGGAAATAACCAGAAGTGTAGTTGAGGATACGTCATGAGTAGAAACGCAATGTAGGAAAATGCAGTCTGGGTTAAAAGAACTAACTAGAGTCAATGCTTTGATCAATGTAAAAGGGCCTCTTCTGACGGAGGAACCTCTTCAACTACCCTTGAGCCCTCATCAAGAAATAGAGCAAGCCCAAAAATACATCTTCGGCAGGAATAAGCGCATATGCACAAGAGTCTAACACACCTTCTGCAACGGACACAAAGAAACGGACATGCGGGGCTATCCTAATGTTAACTCCGGGATGGGTAGGCTATATTCTGTACCAATATTTGCTGGCCAATGTAGCCAGCCTGAGCCATTGCTGAGAGCCAGGAGAGATGTCAAACAATTAAGACTACAGTACAGCCTCAATCACAGAAACTCTGTGTTACTAGTTCTTCTATCTTTATAGAAAAGACAATGTGCCTAAACGGAAGGAATTAACCATAATTTGAGATCCTCTACTATAAGTAAAAGTCTGCCCACAACATGGCGTACACAAATTACATGTCTCATCATAATGGTACAAAACAGCTTCTTGTCCTTCATTGTAGGCACTCAATACTACCTTGATCTGATCCCTCGTACGCACTGCAGGGGGCCGTGAGGCCCACCTACGTTCGAGACGCAGCGATGTAAATATCAACAGACACTGTGAAGGGTCTAGAGATCCAAACATTCCTTTGCTCATTCTATTCCGTACGGTCTTATTGGCAAGACACACTGAATACCAACATAGTACCTCTTCTGACGGTCTCTCAACTGGTGCCCTGATCAAAAAAACAACCCTAAAATCCTTCGCTTACAACATACCTATCTAACCCCCTCGAAGTCAAATCTTCTAGGATCAAACATTCGATGACGCGACTTCTCTGCCTGGCCCACCAAGTTCTCGGGCCGGTGAGGAGGATACGCGCGGCGCGATAAAAGTGGCAGAGAATAATCAGTGCCCTCGAGTCTCCCCGTATAGCGAGTTCGCGGAAGGCGCGGCTATAGTGAACGGGGAAAGAGAAGAAACAACGCTCGATGTCAGGTTGAAGGCGCGTTAAGGCTTGGGATGCCGAACTGTTGGTAGAGGAAGATATCGAGGTCAGGCAAAAGAGTAGCGAAAGCCTCTTAGCAATACCCTCGAAAGCGACTTGCTGAGTATTAGGAGGTTCCTGTGGTGGCACCAGCGCTGTCTCGGTATTACACCTGTTTTCGCGTAACCATAGACAGCCAGTGGGGTTTTCCTTGTATGACGACAGGTCATCGCCTGGCGGTTGGCACCGAGGGTCATCTGAGATCCCCATGAAGTAGTGCACAAATCTCCAGGGGTCTTCTCCCTGTTGTAAAATGGCTTCTTCTATCGCATATACTGGGCTGTAAAGCCCTGTAGTAAGAAACACGCTATCACTGCCCATGAGTATACGGAATGCTTCATTCAATATTCCTTGCACTCCAAAACTCAATTGGAGAAGGGGGTCTTTTGAGAGTTGCATAGCCAAAGGACTGTTGCCTCTTTGGTATTGAAACTTCTCCTGCTTGTCGATAAATCCGATATGGCTCCATGATATATAATGCATCAAGATAGAAGCTGCTATCACGGCTTCGCTGTTCTGGGCTGTAACGGGGCGAGATAGCTTTTCACTAAACAGTGACGCCGACTTGCTGAGAAACTGGACAGCGACATCTGAATAGCGAGGAGACTGGGGCCGTACGGTGGCAAGATGCATCGCTGCAAGACAAAGGATAGTACACATGATGTAGGGTTCCTATCACACTCATCCGAGTCAGAGCAATTATTTTCGGGAGACACTCTCTATTGGTGGCTGGGGACGAAGGAAAAGGCACACCTGAAACGACCACGGCAGCACCTGTTCCCAGATTTCAGAAAAGGCAAGTGTATCAACCAGGCTTCTTTGAAAATGGGAAAATAATTCCAAGTGAAGCAAATTCATACTAGTATCCTCCACCATCAACACATTAAGAGGTTGCGAGATGCGTGTACTTAATTCATTGTTTCTACTTCCTGCAGTGTTTGAGCGAATACATCTTTCATGCCTCTTTAGACAGTTGGAGCAGGGGAACTGCTCGTCACACTAAAGCCTGGCATGTCAGCCGTGAGCTCGCAGAACCCCATGCAAGCTATCTTCATACCTGCAGAGGTATAGATAGGTTGTCACTACTTTATGTACCACTGACCTTTACCCTCCGTTGTTTGCAGACGAGACAGCCACGGCGGCTCTTATAGTGTGGCCGCTTCCTCCCAGGTCTCCCCCTGCGATCAGCGGCATCCAGATCCGGGCTGGCAGCCTCCACCGAAGCTTCACCATTCACGACGAATAGAAAGACCTCTCGAGGCCTTTGGACTAGGTCCTTCTGGCCTTCCATGGCACCTGCAGTGCAAGGCATACCAAGACAATACAAAAGGGGCGCCGATGGATAGAGCCGAGATGCAAGGTTCAACTGTGTCGTCTCGTTGTCTCTTTGAGTGCGAGGTGCCGGGACAATTAACTCATGGCAGATGGGTGCGGCGGTATGGATGACGTGGGAATTTTCAAGCTGCTGTGGCAGCCAATCGGATACAACGGGTGTTGTCTCCTTTTGGAAATAAACGAAGTACGAGACTGGGTTGATGTAAATAAGCAATAGCCTTCTCCGACCGAAGCTTTCTTCCAATCACCTCCCTGGTAATTGCCTTGCCTATACCGACCAACACGTTAGGTTTACCGAGCACGACACAAAGTAGAATCTAGAGACGGTGGCGAGAACGCATTCGTCGCACATTTCTAAGTCGGGCAGAATGACACTGTAGTCGCTCCTCATTAAAAAACAGGGAGGTTCTTGCTGCTCTTGGACGTAAAATTCATATAAATGTGAGCGATGAGTCTCGTTTCGATGATACCAACCTCGGTTTGTTCTAGTATCTAAGACCAACTCGACTTCTTCGCCGTGTCACTTGCCAGTTAACCTCAATCTAGCCACCCACCACACAACGAACAACAAATATGTCGCACAATAACCAGTCAGATAACTACAGGCAGGGCTATTCTAACTACACTACCGCGACCCATGAGAAACGCACAGTAGAGTCAAATGCCGCCTTCCTCATTCCACATATCAAGAAGACTGACCACATCCTTGACGTCGGCTGTGGGCCGGGCACTATTACGACAGGCTTTGCCAAGTACGCCCATGAAGGTATTATCATCGGTCTCGACATGTCGGCCAACGTCCTGGAGAAGGCCAAGAGATTGGCGGCCGAAGCTGCTGTGTCTACGAAAGGGCCGGGATCGGTTCGTTTTGAGCAAGGCAACGTCCTCGAGGGCCTCCCTTATCGTGAAGGCACATTCGATATTGTCTACTGTTCTCAAGTCCTGGGGCATATGCCGCCGCCGGACCTACCGCGTCAGGCGCTAGTTGAGATGCGCCGTGTCCTCAAGCCAGGTGGTATACTAGCTTCGCGTACCGGCGTGTCGGGCATGTTCTTCCCGAGGAGTCTGCAACTTGGTCGTCTATGGACGCAGAATCTGTGCAAAGTACTACGCCAGGGAGCTCCAGACGACATAGAAGACACATGGGAGAGCTTGCCGGCGCTGTATCGTAGCGCCGGATTTGACGCCGATGGTGGTAAGGTCCAAATTGGTGCTGGAACGATGGTGGCTTCGGGGTCAGAAACTCGGAAATGGGTATCCTGGCGTATCACCGGGCAGCTGAAACCAGAAGACCCCTTTTACCAGAGTTGGCTGGACGCTGGCATTGCTGAGGAAGAGATCCAAGAAACGATTCGCGCCGTGAATAAATGGGCGGAGACTGAGGATGCCTGGTTTGCCGGGCTGCAGTGTGAGATGCTTGCGTGGAAATGAGTGAGCAATCTAAGCTCATAAATAGGACAGGGAAGAAATAAACAAGGTGTCATGATATGGTGTTTTAAGATCCCCGGAGTACACAATTGCACTGCTTCCATCACGCGCATCATGTATGCTATATGCAGCGCATGAAGTGTAGCTGTGCTAAGTGAGTAAAATCAGCATCGTGAGCAATTCCTTGGTGCTGAGTCACCCGCAGCAGCACCCCTCACTACCTGTCACTCACCTAGGTATCGACCTACTTACCTAGAAGTTGCAATGATACGCCCCTGGGCTCGAGGTATGTACGCCGACCGCACTGATTGACGCATTTCATCGCGAAAGTACTGTATACTGTGCTAGTGCTACCATTGTCTGTTCAATGCCTCGCGAGTCGCCTACCATTCCAGTGCCGTGCCATCCATTCGATCCCTCACCGCCTACCTCTTGCCTAGATCCAAGATACCGGTATACCCCTTACTTTGAGATATATAGGCAGGACTCATCCCATCGCGAGGTGGCCAGATTACCACCCTTTTAACCTACTTATCCTTATCATTAACTGAATTTGACTACCTTCGATTGAACTCGCACTGTCTCAGTATGCTAGTCTAAGGTATGTCTCTTTCGTCCTTGCGATAGGCGTAGGATAGGATAAGGGATAAGAAGGGTGAGCGTCCACATATACAGTAGCAGGGTTGGGTACCCATAGTAAGAATTAGGTATTGTGTTAATCATTATCTAGAATATATAACTTAAACCATGGTAAATATATATCCCTAGCCCACGCTGTTAGCCGCCTTATACCAGCAATAACAGAATACGACTCTAAGCAAGTCTGCGTCGAGCCAAACTGGCGGTCAGCCCATAGCTTGGTCTTCCGGTCTTCATATGTAGAAAGAACAAGATGCCATCGATGGCCCTGTACAATAACGCCTGGAATGAAGCCAAGCTTAGACATGACCGAAAGCACTTCAACCTCTATGGCATCATGCACTGCTTCTGCTGCCTGTGCTTGAGACTTGTCCACTATGCCGTTGCCGCCATCGCCCTCCCCTTCTCCTTGACCGTTGTCGTTGATGGATTGCCTTCGCAGCTTGTCCACTACAGCCCACCGCAGGAATGCCCATTGTGCAGCATGCCAGATGCCAATCTGAAGCTGTGCGGCTTCCCAATGAACGCCGGGCTTCTTAGTCTCGATGCTCAATACTATAGGCCGCATGCTGACAGGGTAGAAGTCAGTATGGTTGATGGTGCCGGTGGGAGTGAGGCGGCTCAATTGGGTAATCTTGGCGTGCAGGTCTTCGTTCCCGTCTTGGGATGTTGAGATATGATACAGGCATATATCGATCATCTTGCCCGGAGACCAGATGGGCTTCCAGACGGGATGTAGGCGGACAGTAGTACTATTGGAATTAGCAATGGATGAGTACCCAGGTGATCGATCGATGTTTTCGTATTTTAACACGGCATAAGGATAGACGACGAAAAATGATAACGAAACGTACCAGATCATTGCGTCAAACTCGCTGCATGGCCGTCCATCTTCGTCTTCCAATATGAGCTCCAGCAAACGTGCGTGAACACTACAGTTCCAGCTGACTTCTTCGTGGTCATATTGTTGGCATTCGTTCGCCTTCCTGCATATCTTTTCAACTTCCCGGAAACAAGGGATGCGACGGGGCAATAGCGCATCGCCGTCGTCTTCGGCAGACTTGAAAGCATATCTCCAGAGCCGTGGCATAGGATCACGGGCGTTGACAGATTCCATGATGCTTGACTTGGCAGCATGAGGCAAGATGTCCTGGTTACTCCCAATCTCCGTCATTGCCTCGACGAGTTCGCGGGCAGCAGGCGGCAGCGCATTCAGGTTCAGGCTAAGGGCGTTGAATTCAAGGACGGGTTCGTGTAGTCGGAGATTCAACATCTGTTTTTTGGGCGATGAGGCACGGGACGATATATGCGACGTATGCGACGAGGATGTTGTTGAGCCGGCGGTGTTGCTTCTGGGAATCGAGCTGCCTGGGATACGAGGGCGAGGGGTGGTTTCGGGATCTGTGGCACTCATCCGACGTCTCTTCTTGGGTGTCGATGGCATCTCTTCTTGGACTGAAGCAGGAGGACTTGTGAGCTGTGGTGGTCGCTTTCTTTTCTTCGTTGTTATCGAAGGAGCGCCGATGTCTTTGGCTACATTCTCGGGCAGACTGCAGATCCAGGTTGCAACAAGGGCATTGCGATCGCTCATGTCGAACACCCGATTTGATTGCTGTAGACCGTCGCCTTGGGATCTTCGTCTTGAAGCGGTTGGAGTTTCCCCTTACATTAGGTAGTAGAGCATTGATGATGTATGTTAGTAGTGTAGCGATGGTCTTCCAAAGTTGTTCACCTAGCAACCGCTGGCAAGATTTGGGGGTGGGGTTAAGTGATGCACTAGGTACCTAGTAAGGGCCTACAGTAGGTACCAGATGAGCCAAAAGCGAATAAACCATTAGGTACCTATAGCGCTGAAAGGAATCGAACCTAACCTACTAGGTACCTAGGTAGGTACCTAGGTATATGCCCCCTCTGGTCATAGCACCCTAACTGTACTAAGGTAGGGTATGTACGCGGCCGCCATGCTACCTAGCTCCCGAGCAGGGTAGGTATCCCATATGGACAGGTTGATATTCATAGGTAGTTGTCAGTACATTCTTTTATTAAATGCTTAATCTAACGCCTATATTATCTATACAAGCCATGGTCTTTGACCAGTGAAGTCTTCAATATCATCCAGAACCCACTGGATCGGGGTAGCGAAGGTAACATCTGTCCCTCTGGGTATGGTCTCGTCTGCATCTTGTGGCGCAATTCCCTGGCCCTTGTTGCTAGCAGTGACGATCGCAACTACTTGGCCCTTCTTGTTGAATACCGCGGAGCCCGAGTCTCCAACTTCCGAGAAATACGAGGCCCCATTTTCGGGGACGATCAGCATTTCCCAGGAGTACTCAACCGCGCCGTCTCTGCATGGGCGACGGACAACAGCTTCGATACCGCTTATTATTCCGTCGGTGAGTCCTGACTTTTGTCCTATCTTTGAAACGCACATTGGCATGACTCTGGTATAGGGTTCCGACGTGAGTCCTAGACGAAGCTCATCGTACTTCACTGATGGTGAGCCGAGGAAGATTTTGTTGGCTGGAGGTAGGGTGAACTTTCGAACATCGAGCTCTACGAGTGCCCAGTCTCTGAGATACCCAGGCTGACGAGAAGAGATGGAGCAACCTGGGTAATATGCCAGGTGGCCGATTTGCCGTTCCTTCCTGTCATCGATTTTCTCGAGGGCCTCTTTAACCAAGTTATCGTGTTCTATCGAGTCCTTGATCTTTTTCAGGTTCAGGAAGTCTTTCTCAGTAGGCGGCGAGACATTCTTCGGATTGTAGTTTTTATAGCAAGTCTCCCATTTATCAATCGGGCCTTGTTGCCACTTCAAGTCGATATTTGCGCTCTTTAGGCGAAGATACAAATCGTATTGGAGATCACCAAGATGACCCTGGCTACCTGATATATGGTATTGACGATCATGCGCTGAAGGCTTGTATGACTCGTGTTTTGCACGCCCACCACGGACAGCATGACGGCAAGTAAGACCGTACACAGTCGAATTGTCGGCTCCTAGCTTGATGTGCAAGCCGACTGTTCCCTCGCCTGGTCTGTCTTCCAGGTAGGCAATAGAATACCCTGGGTACGACAATAGCGGTAGTATGCTTTTTTTCGTCTTAAGATGCTCGTCGCTTGAAAGTGCTTCGAGCTGTGTGGAAGCGGCGTGCTGTGTGTACTGGCCTTCCATGATCTCGACCTCGACATTAAAAATCATGAACTTCCGCAGGATGTCACGGCAGCTTAGGGCAATTTTAATGCCGTCCTCCCATTCAAGGCTGGCTGGCTTCACCGCAACCAGCAGGATCGTAACTGGTGTGCTCCTCGGGCGATGCCGATGGTCCCTGAGATATGTTCGTATAGGGAAGAAGTATGCCCATTCACAGTGACTTAGGGCTTCGATGATGCTCATCGACAAATCTTTACACCATTTGCCGATGATTTCTGGATCGTCCAAGACCATGTAGCATTTTTTGTGCTGAGCAAGCGTCTGGTCCCACCCATATTCGTAAAATGTCTTCGTCCAGCGGTCATGGCCCGTTCTGGCCACCAGTCTCGGACTGCCACTGAACCCATGGAAGTAGTCTTTCGTCTCCTCGGGGTCGGGCTTGTAGGGGTCGGTATCTACGTCGAGGTGGAGGATATCGGTAACCTTCGGCTCGAGATCCTCGCTCGAACTGCAGGAGGACATCTTGATTCTCTTTTCAACGAGGTACAATGAGTCTTGATCGGTTGAGTTTGGATGGTGGAGTGTGTAAAGATAGAATAACGTCCAAGGTTATATAATGAAAAGCCAGATGCGGTTCCTTGTAAATGGAAGCCAAAGAGAATAAACCGCTTCTTGCGGATCTCATTCAAGTCGGGCCTGCGAGTTTTCGGAAACAGTTCTGTAAAGGATTTTTAATAGTGTATGCATTTGAATTCATGATGGGTGAATAAGAACTTGCAGGGTTATTCTAAAGATTTTATATTTAATTTGATGATTTAGCAGACTATGATGGTAACAGATTGTTGGTGTAATTATGGCCCCCACCCAATACCGCGTATGCCCAGAACATTCAGTAAAAATAAGGTTTATCAAAATATCATCGTCTTGGAAAGTCGAACCGTGAAGAACTCTAGGTTTAATACCACATAGAAGGAACATCAAGGTTCAATTCTAGCAAGTCCTAGCCATAGAGGCGACATTATGATGCGCCACGCAGCTTCATCCTGAACCAGTCTGCAAGAGGCTCAAAACCATGTATGGGAAGGTAAAAGCTGGGTTGTTGGCATTCAAGATTAGGGCCTAATAAATTTAATTTATGCAATGCAATGCGACCGGTAGCTTGTGAGTCACTACACCGGTGAGTATTGGCGCAGTATACAGGACCTTGCGATGGGATGAGTCCTGCTTATATATTTCAAAGTAAAGGGTGCAATATCTTTCCTAGCTCTTAGCAATAGCTTAAGTTGGCTACAATGGTTAGCAAACATTGTTATAAAATATATAGGGTTAGGGTTAGGGTTAGGGTTAGGGTTAGGGTTAGGGTTAGGGTTAGGGTTAGGGTTAGGGTTAGGGTTAGGGTTAGGGTTAGGGTTAGGG